CTGCCTCCTCAAATGAACTGCAGAGTCACAGAGTCTGGACAAAGTCATTTGTTGTGAGTAAACTTCTTTGGGCAGCTCAGGTCATTCCAGGCAGTGGAAGACGGAGACCACACACACACATGCACACACAAACACCAACACTCACACACAGGTCAATTTGGTTGGGCATGGTGTCGATCACCCCTCTGCTCCTGTTGCTATAGTCTACCGGGAAATGCCCATAGCTCAGCTAAAGTGAGTTCAATTTAATTTGAACTTCACACAGCTGCGAGAGGGAGAGGGAGAGAGACGAGGGGGAGGGTGTGGGCGATCCAATATGGTTTTGTCCTTCTTGAAGTGACACAAACATTTCAGACTTTCCCCATGTCCAGCATCCATCCCCCAGAGAGCCATTGCTGACAAATTTGGAATTGTGTGACTGTGTGTGTACGTGTGTGTGGTTGCTGATAGGGCCTACATTATCTCATGCCTCTTTCTGTTTGTCTACCAGTCTATGTTGACAAGAGAGGACAAATATCATATATCCAACAGGTCTTGGCGCAGCCCATATGTTCTTCTTCACATTACTGTACAGTATCATTTACATTTATTGCATGCGCCTGTCTAGTCAGCTGTTCCCTCTTCAGGCCGCTAGGGAGCGCTGCTCCGCTTCACAGCTGACAGTGAAGCAGCGCTCTCTGTCTTCCAGGCGCACAGGCGGGAGCGCACCAACAGTCTGTCTGACTCCCCGACCGCATCGCACCTCTGTCCCGTCACACTCGGCTACTTTGTCGTCGCTTCTCCCAGAAGAGGATAAACGGGGGATTCTCGGTGCAAAACAATAGGCTGATTGGGGGAGGTTTTAACTTGGATGTTTCCTCCATGTTGGTATGTCTTAATAATTAAGTTTCCTGTCTCACCCCGTTGTGCAAAAGCGGAGGAGAGCAGCGGAACTTTCAGGGGACCTTTTCTTGCACCGGAGTAACCGCTGCTTGTAACCCAGGAGGTCATATCTCTCACCGGCTTCGTTGCTCTCTTGCCCGGCTGCGGAGGTGGAGGGTATGGTATAACTTTTTCCGCTTCAGTCGAACCTAAGCGGCCGGTGTGAGAGAGAGGAGCCGTTTTATGGTACCGGAAAGGGGATGCGAGCCTCTCCTCCGTCTCGGATAGCGGAGCGGCTATGAGGAGAGAGGATCACCTGCTGGGCTAACAGAACAAGACCACACCGCACCAACAGGTATGGATCAGTGCCTTTACACCTGCACAGATAAGCTTGGTGCAGCCCACGGTTTTAATGCGATTTCTGTTGAGGGTTGGCAGTGCGCGTGAGACAAAGTAAATTAGTGGCACACCTGCCACGCGTGATTAATATGCTTTATAACAGTCGACTCATCTCGTCTTTGAAAACCAGTTACGCTCGGAATGGATTCCACTTCATCCGTTCCATTTTAGGGAATATACAAGATATTGATTTTATGAATGCATGAGAGTTATGCAAAACAGATTTCCTCGCGGTAATATCCCATCAGCCTTCTCTGGCATGGTATAAGTTTTATTATCGCGGGGGTGGTTTTACAGCAAAGACAAATGATTGCGGGTGTTTCAGGTGTTGCACAGCCCTCTCTCTCTCTCTCTCTCTCTCTCTCTCACACACACACACACACACACACACACGCGTGCGCGCGCGTGCGTGCACAAAGGGGGCACGTAGGTCTAAGCTGTGCGTATACCGGCATACAGCACCGGGTTCAGTGCGCTGTTTTATGCAGAGCTTTAGCAGGCGCAAACAGCTGCTCACCTCGTTTTGACAAATTCTATGAGCTGTGCTGTGTCCAAAGGTGCTAAATGATAAATATGTTGTTGCCTTATTTCATGGTGAAAGAACAGATAAGGAACCTTAACGTTTCCTTCGCACTAAATTGTCTCCCATTTAAAAAAAAAATAAATAGTTGCACTCAACAGTGGTTTGTATAGTCTTTACATGAGAGGAACATAGTGCTTGTACACATAACAAAAGTGAGGTGTGTGTGGAGCATGTAGAGGAACTCATCACCCTGAAAGCGGTGGGCGTTTTCTGCAGCATGCACCATAGATCACCTGATCTACTGTCGATGGTGATTCATAAGATGACCTTTATTGGCGACACTGGACACATTGTGCATCAATTTGGTAGCAGTGTAGAGGCTGTGAGTTGTTGCAGTCGCTACTTTTAGCTCTGGATATGTTAAAATACACTGTTCGAGGTAACATGGCGCAACATATCCTCTTACAATGGTTCGTATGATATCTTATGAAAAGTTTTCCTATTATTTTTTTGTGAGTTTTCCAATGAATGTCAAGCAACACGAGTGATCAGTGCACCTGCGCAAGCGCCTGCGAAGTTTAGGCAACACAACTACTTGGTTAGGTTTAGCAAAAGATCGTGTTTTGGGTTAAAATAACTACAGGAGTGTTGTTACTTGAGTACAAAAGTTACGTGACAAATAATTCAACATTTACTTCTGGTTTCACACAAGACATGAACAGCGGTTTCCCGGATGAGAGTGTTTGTATCTCAACCATCCACTCTGAGACCTACTTCTGTACGCAGACTTTATCTCTCATTTTATATACGTCCCCTGTCCTGGCTCATGATTAAGTAAATTGATTAAGTGAGATATTATAGTGCATTACTTTTCGTAGGTATAGCGAAGAACAGTGTAACATTTGTGTCTCCTCATCATGTTATCTTATGGCTATTTCTGGCCTTAATCCCCTTGACTTGTTCATAAAATCCTTGTGTGTGCATACAGGGTGATTGGATTTAAACAAAGAGGGTCATCCCAACTGTGGACATATTTTTGACATGCTCCAGCTCCATCTGTCTCTGTCTCTTACTCTCCCCCTGTTTTCATGAGCCTCTGCAAGGAACATAGAAGAGGCGAGGCTGAGAAGTGGAGTGAGGGAGTAACAAAATAAGCAGGAAGAGAACTGACAGTGCGACATGAGCGACAGGAGAGTAGAGATGCAGGGAGGTGGCAGCTAGAGGGGGGTGGAGGGGGGGCAAGATAAGGTGCTGAGGTTTATGTGGAAAAGGAATGCATTAAAAGAAACAAATACATGTGAGGTCACTTGCTCCTAGAATGGTTGTCAGATGTATGTTTAATATGGCCACAGGCTGATGAATACCATCATGAAATGTTAAAACATCACCAGTTCATTCAATAAAATGGAGAGAATGAAAGGAACGATAGAAAAATGAGGACAGAGGAAGGTAGAATGGAAATGACGTTCAAGTGAGCAGGAGGTAAAAGTATTTAGACTCTCATTTTTTAATGAAGGTTAAATCTTTACATGCATTTTATGTAACCTATGTCTTCCTTTGTGCCGTGTCATTTAGGAAACATTAAGTAATTGTGACGGCTGCACAACCGGTCCACTAAATAAAACACAACAGAATAGCACTTCTCCTCATGTGTCCTTACTATAAAATGAATTGCCAGGTTGGCTGACTCACATTATATCTCCTTCAAATCCAGGCAAACTATTTAACTGAAATAACACGAGCGATGGAGAGGATGATGTAAAGACGGTCAAGACTCGGTTTTAGGTGAATCTTTGCTTTTTATTTGATTTTTTTGCCGTTTTATTCCTTTATTACATAGTGATTAGTGGAAAGGTGACAGGAAATAATGGAGAGAGATGCAACAAAGGTCATAGTGGGCGTCTTAATCCCTGTGCCACAGGGACGCCCCAGTGCATGTTTGCTTTTGGAAATTGAATGGCTGTATGGGTTTGGCAATGTAGGGGATACACTGATTTGCAAACCAGCAGAGTCCACAGGACAATTTTACCCTTTCTCCTTCTGGCAACATGACCAAAAGCACACGCGAGTTATCCTTAAAATACAGCAAGCTTTCATGTTTCCATAAACCACAATTTCCTTATGTCTCCCTGTACACCTTTAACTCTTCCTACACGTGTCTCTCTCACTTCCTTTATCCTTCTCTTCTACCAATAAGCCCTCTGGGTCATGGGAATACTGTCAAAGCTGCTGTCCAGAGAGAAAGAGAGACATACAAAGACAAGGAGAGCAAGGAAGAAATGAAAAAGTATAGTATGTGTTAAAGGTGATCTTGTTTGTATTTGCCACCTCCTGTAGCTGTGCGTGATGAGAAAAGAAAAGGAGATAATTAAAAGAGAAAGAACAAGAATGAGAAGCAGGAGCAAGTGAGACAGAGACCTAAACACAGAGAGAGAGAAAGAGGGGGGGGGGGGGGGGGAAAAAATCCAAGGGGGAGAAAAAAAAAAAAAAAAAAAAAGCATGTGTCCTATAAAAGGTGTTCTGTATTTCATTGGCCATCTCCAGTAGCTGTGTGTGGTGTGCTGAGGCCCAGGGGGGACGAGTAGCCACTCTAAATGTGTGTAACCCACATAAAGAAATTGTTTCTGGGAGATCGGGCCCCGTAAATTCATTCCTAGCCGTCAGCCCTGTTCTTATCCCACCTCCCAAAGGTGAGCTATCACATCCAAACATATATTTTTTAGATTCTTTCTCTGTGCACACATATACACACAGACCCAGACTTTTCTACCAAACACACACACACACACACACACACACACACACACACACACACACACA